TTAATCAATTATACAAAGAGGTATTTGGTAAGAAACGCAATTTGGCTGCAAAGCCAAAACCTTGGAGGATAAATCTTCTATTTTATTTGGCGCATTCAGGATGGATTTTAATTCAAAAATATATCTTTTCACGTTTTTCTCAATCAAAAAATATTGGATATCAAACTTTTTAGACAACTTAATACCAGCAACTCTAGATATCTATACTAATCTCTTTCGTGGAAATCAATTTGAAAAATATATTAAAACAAATTCTTGACTTTAGACGGTAATGCTAAGATCTAGACACAAAAATTATAACAAGCTTATGTTAGCATTTATTTCAGATATTCAGTATTGGCATGATTGTCAACATCCTATAATTAACTTACTTAAAATAAATCTACATATTTTTGACAAATATCCAGTTGAAAATTTTCACAATTTTATTTGATGTCATACCAGCTTAAAAATTAATACACTAGAATAGTTTAGGCGGGATGCAATTTTTATTGATCATTGACAGTATAAAAATGATTTTGCATGATCATTTTTAGCTACTAAATCATATTCTTATACAAAAAAAGCTAGATATAATGACAAAACAAACTGCAATTTTTGTTTTGGATTTTTTGAAAAACTTCAGATTAATAAAAAGAAATGAATAGTTAACGTTAAATATGAAAGTAAAAAAAGTCAAAAAACAAACTTTTTATTTTTCACCACTTACTAAGGGTTTTTCTGAAGAAGTTTTACCTACTGGATATCATACTTCATATTCACAAAATCAAGATACCTTTGTGATTGAGATCAATATACAGATATGTCTACAAATGGAAAGATTTTATCCTGTAAGCATACTTATTTATAATAACTAATGTTTTGTAAATATGAAACTAAAATGTTTCTTTTGTTTTGAATACTTTTGTAATAGGATAGATGGGCTTTCTAAGTTATATAATAAATATTTGAAAATGAATATAAATTTTGAAGAAGAATTTGAAGATACTATACATAAAAATGAGGAGAATATATTAATTAAATGAAGCTGAAGAATTTCAGAATATTAACGAAAGGCTTACAAAGGTGATATTAGGTATATATGCTAATTTATAAAATTAAAGTATATTCATTAAATTATTTTATTAACTTTAATATTTTGCTTAGAATTTAGTAAAAATATATTAAAAATACAACCACTATCTATACTATCTAGTATATTACAAAATTTAATTCATTAATAAAATTTTATGTCAAAATGTATAAAATAAAGTTATGTACAATATTAAAAAAAATAATTTAATTGGCTGTTTTTGATCATATGAAACCAGATTTTATTTATTAATTATCACGTGAAATTGAACCAATAAACAGATTTTTAACTATGTTGGCTTTTTTAGTAAAAAAGGCATTTTTGAAGTTATAAAGATGCTTTTTACTATAGTTTTCTTAGTAAAAAGGCATTTCTGAAGCCATAAAAGTGGTTTTTACCATAGTTTTCTTAGTAAAAAGGCATTTTTGAAGCTTCAGAAGTGCTTTTTACTATAGTTTTCTTAGTAAAAACCACTTTTGAAGCTTTGAAGATGGCTTTATTATTGATTTGAATTAAATCAAATATTTTAATACTTGATTTGAATTTGATCATATCAAATCAAACATTAATTTGAATTTGATTAAATAAATCATTCTTTGATTTGGATTTGATTGAATAAAATCAAATATAAATTTGTATTTGTATTTGATTTGATTTTCAAATAGAATATTCAAATATCAAATTGAATTGCAGAATTCTACATATTAGCTATACATAATATAGCATATAAACATATAAAGTTAAATGCACAGAGAGCAGCTAAAAGTCTCTAATAATATCATATTTTTCAAGATAAATCAATCAAAATTAGTTCAAAATTTTATATAATTTTTATATAATCTCAATTTATATTTTATTAAAATTTTATTTAATTTGAATCAGTGAAAGCTAAGATATTTATGTAAATGAAATTGAATAAATATTTTAATCATATATATTTTAGCTAAAAATTTATGAATACTAAAAACTTTAACATCATATATCATAAGTTTCACTGATTAAAATTAGGTCAAATTTTCATATAATTATAACAAATAATAAACTATAGTATATCAAATTTCATCTAATTTAAATTACTAGAAGCTGAGATATAACAATATATAAATAATTTTAATTATAGATTTTAGTTAAAGTTTGTAAATATATATTTTCTAAATATCTAATGATTCAAATTAAATAAAATTTTAATATATAACGATAATAAATAAATATATTATTTATAAAATATCAAAATTTGAGATTATTTGAATTAATAATTATTGAAAATAAATATATATATTTGATATAAATAAACTTTTTTAATAAAAATAAATATTAGGTTTCAAAATAAAATCTTATATATTAATTATCTCAATAATAAGAAATCTAAATCAATTTAAATTTTGATATTTTATAAATAATATATTTATTTGTTATATATTAAAATTTTATTTAATTTGAATTATTAGATATTTAGAAAATCTATTTAATATTCTTTTAAAAACTTTAATTAAAATTTAAAATCAAAATATTTATATATTTATATTTATATAAATATCTCAGTTTTTACTAATTCAAATTAAATGAAATTTTAATATATTATAGATATTAAGGTATAAAATTTGATCTAATTCTGATTAGTGCTTCTTGAGAATTATGAGAATTATGATATCAAATATTGTGTTCAGAGACTTTTAGCTGCCTTCTATAACTATGGTTTTTAGAATAAATTACTCATAATATATCAACCAAATATTAATTCTGAAAAATGTTACTATAAGTATAATAAAAATTATAAAAGCTAAAACCTTAACTGCTTGTGTGTTATCAAATACTTTATATTCTTATTTTTGTTATTTTTACTTTTTTTAAAACTTTCTATTTGTTATATTAGATAAGCATTAAGAATTCTTCAAAGATTTATATATTATATTTGAAAAACCACTTTAATATTCATCAAATATTAATGGTAATTCAATTCCTTTTTTTTTTACTTTAGAATGAGATTTTAAGATTACTAATCGAAGCACTTCTCCAAATTTATTAGGATGTTTATAATTAAATCATAATATCATTTTACATCACATAATTTTTTAATGTTTATTTTTTTAATTGTAAACTATTTTTATTACCATATAGCTGGGAACTTATATTTTTTATAATGATACCTGAGATTTATCAAGTTTATATTCCTTTAAAACTTCTGTCTTTCTTCAAAAAAATTGATAATAGTTTTCAAAATTCTTTAAGTAAAATATCTTTAGTTAATTGGTCTAAATTAGTTATTATATCTTGCATGTATTTATAATAAGATCTAATGATTTAGAAGTATTATTTTTATGATACTTATTATAGGTAAAAGATTTTGCTCCTCTGCCTTTTTGCTAGAAAAAATGACATCCTTCAATTTCAAAATAAGATGAATAAACATATTTAGATCTGGTTATACAGTTTGAAATTTGATAAAGTTTATTTACTATAAAATACTAGACATTTTTTTAAGTTAGAGTACAGAATTTGTATATTATATCCTATAATCTTTTAGGAATAATATTTATAACTATATTTACTAACAAAATATTTATTATTATCACAGAAAAAATACTGACATAGGTATATCTAGCTCTTATTAATAAAAATGTTATCTTTTATATTTTTATGTTGTGTTTATAAGTATCATTCTGATCCTAATTAAAATAAAATGAGTATATTTCAAGTAAATATAAAGATTCTTACCCATTCGCATTGACACATATTTCTATTATATTATAATTTAATTTCCATATTTCCATTAATTGTTTAATTGGATGATATACATTATTTATATATCGCTGTATTATAACATTAATAATATCAATAATTATACATTGATTTTTTATATTTTTACTATTATTATTTAACTCATAATTAGTGTTTTCATTATCATCTTCTAATGAAGTCTAAATTGATTCTACCTTTGATTGTATATCAATGTCAGATCTATATGTACTTCTTTTTTCTTAAAATTAATAACTATATTTCTTTATATAATTTATTGCAAATTTGTTAAGGCAAAAATCATATGTTTTATAATTATCATTTTTGGTTATATTAGTGGTAAGAGTTTCTGGACAGTTAGAAAAAATGTATACATTGCTGTATTTTCAATAATCCAGAATCTTGTACTTCTTATCAGGGTCATTAAACTTAATATCACTTTTATCAACATCTTTTCCTTAAAAATTTGGGATGATTTTTCAGAATTGACAATTATATAACTTATTTTTTGTAAATATTATATATCGAATATCTTTAAAATAATATATTAATAAATATAAGTATTACAAGTATGATAAAGGTAATATTTTCATTAAAAAATTACTATATATTATAATTAACAATGATACTTATAGTATTAAATAGAGCACACATAAACTTGTAAGTTCAAATAAATTTTGGTAATAGTAAGAGTATTATTTATATTAAATGTAACTTCAAAATTTTATTTTAAAGTTGGTTATGAATTATTTTTTTTTTATATTATTAAATGAATTTTATGCATTGACAGTAAATAATTTATTTATATTTATATTAAAAAATAAAAAAGGTAATAAATATATTATAAATTATATATTTAATAATGTGAAAAAAAATATGAAAAATAATGAAAATAACAAATATCTAGCATATATATTATATAAATTATTTAGATTGAGAAGAACTAAGTTATAGTGGTTCTTTAAACGTATAATTTTGACAAGCATAAACTACGTAACTAAAGATAGTTCCCATAATTATTTTTAAAATTTTTAACTAATTGCAACTTAAGTTGCAACACTTTGAGTTGCAACTATTTATGAA